TCATCTTTTGTCTCAGTTATGGCTAAGCTGGAATAAATGGGTCCTGGATGCTGTGTGATGTTACCGGTATTTATTTGGAAGTTTACTTGAGAATACCAAGTGTTGTGAGAATAGGCTGAGAAGCAATATTTGAATACTTAACAAATGCAAGCTTTCAATAGATGAGCAAAAATACTTTATGTGGGCCTGTTGAGTTGGTTCTTTTTATTATTCCAATGTTTATTCTGGCTAAAAAGGACTATACCATTGGTAATGGAGACCTGTGGTATTGTTCTCAATATTTATTTAATGAAATACCATTCCTGCAGTGTATCTACTTTAGCCGTTCCTTTTTTATTGAACAATTTTACCACATAACATATTGTCGAGGTTGCGTTATCCTCTGCGTTTCCATGCCACCACTACCAGCATGGTTTTAACAGAGGTTTAGAAAAGGCTTTTGGGTAGGGAAGTCTAAATTGGGCCACAAGTTTGTCATTCTGTATGAATTCCCTTACTGGTCCTGTTGGCTGGTATTATTTTCAGTATTGCTTCTCTCAGATTGTGCTGAACCCAAGTAATTTCTGCTGCTGTATTTGGGGGGTGGGGGGGAATGTGATATGGCGCTTGAAAAGGCTTCAGAGTAGCTGTGGGAAAGCCAGAATTTGACTGTTGCTCTGACATAGAAATAGTTGGAGGCTTGATTTAGAACACTGATGCAGAAGTTCAAGAAATGGGAAACTTGAGTTGTCCCTGGTACAGCACTGTTCGTCTTGTAACGTCAGGACATCCATACCTCCTTTTTAGTGTGGTGGTGATGTTGATACTACAGCTTCAGACTGGACAAGAGGGGATAGTAATCATTCCCTGAAGAAAACAGAAGCTGTTTGTGGCCAGTTTGCACCGGTTGTAGATTAGGAATAAGATGGTTTGTTATTAGGGTTGGTAGTGCTGCATCCTCTAGCTTCCACGTTTCAGAGGTTGGATAAGTAATTCCCACCTTAAGGAAGGACAGGTACTGGGTTTAATTTTTATGCGTGGAAATTTATAGTTATGGTATTATGAATCCAGAGGTGTTGAGAGTAAGTTTTATAGAGCTCAGGATACTGCTTTTGAGATCTACAAGCTGGAGAAAGCTCAATTGCCAGTGTAGGGTATGGCAGGAGTAAATTGGGGTTGGGTGGACGCAGCTGAGAGAATCAGAGATTTCTTTTTGAGAAGAGTATTTTGTTTGGTGATCTTGTCTATGTACTTCTGAAATGTCCTGTGAATTCTCATGGAACAAAAGGCAGATCCTTGTCTTTCTGTGTTTTCTTCATTCATGTTGAAGGTCAGTCAATACACATATCCACACACAGTGTGAGGTTATAATTTTTTAGGCATACTATTTTGATTATTCTTAGCTTGTAGATAATGTGGGGGTTTTGCATGTAGATATGTTGAAATTTTGTAGGGTTTGGAATGTTCAGCTCTGAAGCCTAATTTGAATTCAGGCCTGCAAACTGTCCCTAAACTAAATAGATTTTGAAGGCAGTTTATCTAAACCATGAAATAATTCTTACCAGCCATTGATTAGAGCTCTTAAATCTAGTATAATTAACTAGCCTGATACACTGGATTTAATACATATTCAGTGTTTTCCTACATGTTTTAACTTGATTATTAAGTGACTACAGCACAGTCTTCTATCGTTGCATCGTCTATCGTAACTTTTCTTCTGACACTACAGTAGATCCACAAAAAAGCCTGTCTGGCTGCCAACGTAAAGACACTGGTGGGAAAAGACTATGTAGGAACGGGCCTGCAAAGGGAGTGGGAGCTCACCATGTTCTTGGAGAGGGGAAGGTGGGAATAGCCAACCCCAAACAAGCATGGGGCAGGGGCTGGGGAGAGCAAAGGATGCAAAGACAGAGGCAGTGATGGCACTCCAGGGGGAATCATGGTGGTGACTCCATCCAAGGAGATGGTTGAGCGGAGCAAAGAGCTGCCAGCGTGGAAGGTGACAATACAAAAACTTGTTGCAAGGAGCTTCTGTAATTGCTAGGGATTAGGAGTTGGGTGGACTGCTGTTAGACCAGGCTTGTTTGTTGCTTCGTGGTTATTCAGTTGTTAACAGCTTTTCTTCATTAAGACACAATTTTCTTCAACTATAATGTGTTTTCAAACATTTTAACCAGAAAGGATAATAGTTTACTATTTGGTAAGTTAGAGGTGTTCACAAAGTTGATTAGAAGCTCAACTTTCATTTAGTTTTTTCTGCTCATCAAAATCATTTAAACTTTGAAAAGAGTTGAGTGTGCTAGGGCAGTTGGAGATTTGTCCTGGGATGACAAGGCTGCGAATGACTTTTTTTTTTTTTTTTTTTTTTTTTTTCCCCCTGTAATTTTTTTTTTTTTTTTTTTTTTTTTTTTTTTTTTTTTTTTTTTTTTTTTTTTTTTTTTTTTTTTTTTTTTTTTTTTTTTTTTTTTTTTTTTTTTTTTTTTTTTTTTTTTTTTTTTTTTTTTTTTTTTTTTTTTTTTTTTTTTTTTTTTTTTTTTTTTTTTTTTTTTTTTTTTTTTTTTTTTTTGGCAGGCAGGTGTTCAGCCACCTCCAGGAAAGCAGGGCTCCATCACGCGTAACGGTTACTTGGGAAGACAAATGCTATCACCCCAACGTCCCCCCCTTCCTTCTTCTTCCCCCAGCTTTATATGCTGAGCATAACGTCGTATGGTATGGAGTATCCCTTTGGTCAGTCGGGGTCAGCTGTCCCAGCTGTGTCCCCTCCCAACTTGTGCACCCCCAGCCTCCTCACTGGCGAGAAGCAGCAAAGGCCTTGACTCTGTGTAAGCACTGCTCAGCAGCAAGGAACACATCCCTGTGTTATCAGCACTGCTTTCAGCACAAATCCAGAACATAGCCCCATACTAGCTACTATGAAGAAAATTAACTCTACCCCAGCCAAAACCAGCACAAAATTATATTCTTTATTTTTAGGTTCTATACACAGGTTTGGGTGTTGCTTGAGACTACCAACTGTTCTCTCTCTCAGCTGTTCATCTTCTGCAGTTTGTGTGTCTGTGCCTGTTGCGTGCAGAGTCTTGGATGTCTGGCTTTTTTCGCCTGCGGCTAATCCAGCTGTCACTGGACAAGGGGATGTAGGCCGCGGGGCTCAGCTGTCTGAGGTCAGAGGAGAGTTTTTTCATATACCAGGTTGATTAGTTTTCATCATTGGTTCATCCTATTCCAGTGAAGTATGTCAGAGGGGATTTTCCCAGAAGAATAGATGCTAATACGCAAGGAGAGGTGGTTCTGAGAGCAGATGGAGTGCGTGCTGCTGTTAATGGAGAGAAGCAGAGTCTTGAAACAAAAACACTGCTATGGCTTGAATGTTACCAGTAGTAATCTGAATTTGTGTATGTCAGCCCTCCTGTGTTTATTTTGGAAAGCAGTGAACAGTGGCAAACTAACGGTGATGTTGCTGTTGACAATTTCTGATATTAAGAGCTTTACCTTTAAATTCACTTTCCTAGGCTATTGAGCTGGCATACTAGTTTTTTAAATCTCATAAGAACAGCATTTGATCAATTATGATGTGAAAGCATTTCCATTTAATCTTCAGCAGATACCTAATATAACAACCTTCAACAAATTTTCATCCCAAATAAAGTTCCATTCAGGCATTTTTTTATTCAGGGAGTAAGTGTGAAAGAGAGGAGATGGTGTGTGTTTTTTTTATAAAGCTCACTACTGATCTGCAGATGTAAAAGACATTGCCTTAAAATACTTACCATGGTGATATTTACCAGTAGTTTTTCATTTTTATTGCTCAGCATGAAGAGGCATTTTACACATTTTAAGTTTAATCTCTCTAAAAGTGAGAGTGTGATGCCTCCACGCAGTTAACTTAAAATTTCAAGTCCTGATATTTCTGCCTCAGCTAGGAAGGCTCCCTGTTTGTTGGCTTTTGAGAGGGGTTTGTGCAGTCACTGTGTGGCTCACCCAAACAAAGCCTAAATTTACTGTCCCCCTTTGAAAGGACATTTAAGGCTCTCCTGGATAGACAGTGTGAATGCTGGCATAGAGTGTACTTTAGAAAAAGCATTTAAATTGCTGCTGTCTAAGCTCAGGACAGCG